ATAAGCCCTGGGTAATATCTATTTGGGATCCATCCTGGAACGAACAGGAACTGCTGCTGGCCTTCGCACGCGCCATTTCCGTACCCACCCCGCTCGTGCCGACCCGAGGAGGGCACCTCGGAAGGCGGGAGGGCCTCGGAACGGCGGTGTGCCTTCTCAGGAGGGCCGACCTTCCGCCCCCGACCGGAAGCCCAGAATCCCGCTCAGCGTCGGTCGCCCGGACCCCCCTGGACGCCCTCCTGCCGGGCGTCTCGAGCTGCGCACCGCGCGGCTTCTGAGGAGGCCCGAACTACAACAGAAAAACGCCCACCCTCGCTGCTCGAGGCTCCAGCGTGCGCGTGGGTGCTCCAACGCCTCTCTGGGCGGCCACATCGTCGAGCGAGGGTAGCGAAAAGACACCTTTCCCATGACGTCTCCCCCCTCGATGAGGGGGGGGATGGGAGGGGGGACTGGCTCACGGGAGAAAGAACAGTGACCCGAAGTCGGCGATCCATCGCCGGCAGATCGCCTGCAGATCGGCCTCGGTGGCGCAACTGCACGCTCCTGGGCGCCAGCCGTGGCACCCAGGCCACGATCGGCGAGGCTTGGGCGGATCAGGGGCCGATGGTCCTTCTCCTCCTCCTCCTCCTCCTCCTCCTCCTCCTCCTCCTCCTCCTCCTCCTCCGCCTCCTCCTCCTCCTCCTCCTCCTCCTCCTCTTTCTCCTCCTCCCCCCCGACGTCGCCCCCGCCCCCCCTTTCATTCCATAGACGGGGCGAGCCTCCTCGGAAGGACCCGGAGGGCCTCCAGCCTCCAGAGAAGCCCTCTGAGCCGTCTCCGGAGCCCCGGAAGGGCCTCTCGGCAGGCCGGAGAGGGCAAGAGGGAAGGCCCACGCCCAGACTTTTACGTCGGCGGCTAGGCAGAGTCACTGCGATGGGCATGAGGCGTTGGTAGATGTACGAGCGCGAATTTGGCCACCATGCAGGACGAGGAGCCCACCCCCAGACATGCGACGTCTTGATTTTTCAATACGGCGTCCTCGGAAGGCCCGACCCTCTCCCCCCAGGGCTGGCTCTCCATCCCGAGTCGGTTTCTTGACTGCCCTGGGGCCCCGCGAGGGCCCCGGGAGACCGAAGACTACCGAAAACCCGCCGTCGCGAGCATGTCTGGGCCGCCTCTCACTCCTTCCCGCGGCGCACCGCCCCATCGGGCAGGAGAATGCCCAGAACCGAACCGAACCGGGATCGGAAGCCATCGAAATCGAATCAAATCGGATCGGATCGGACCGGGGGAATCGGATCGGATCGGAGTCGAATCGAATCGAACTGGATCGGAGGAGTCGAACGGAGCCCTGCCGGAGTGCCCTACCGCTCGCCGCTGGAGGCGGGGCCGGCCAGCGGCGGGCGACCCCGCAGGCGGGCCCGCCTGGAGGTCAGCCCGCGAGCACCCAGAGGAAGAGCCCTGTGGAGAGCACCCAGGTCACCACCTCAGCGGGAGAGCAGGGCAGCTCCTCCTCCTCCTCCTCCGCCTCCGCCTCCGCCTCCTCCTGCCAGCGCATCCTCCTCATCACGTTCACCTAATCTCTCCCCACGCCTCACTCATCCTCCTCTATTCGGCATCACCTACGAATGCCCTTACCGCGACGATACGACTTACGCAGCTCCGCATCCCCCTCCTCCTCCCCTCCCTGCCCTCCTCCTCCTTCGCCTCCCATCTTCGCCTCCTCCTCCTCCTCCTCCGCCTTCTCCTCCGCCTCCTCCTCCTACTCCCCCTCCGCCTCCTCCGCCGCCTCCTCCTCCTCCACCTCATCCTCGCCGTACGCGGCCGAGCGCATGCCGAGGCCAATCCTGAGGGACCCTCAAGGATCCAAAGGGGTACCGAGGAAGCCTGAAGCATGAGAAGTCCCAGAGGACCCTGGGAAGTCCTGATGGGTCCCGAGAAACTCTGAGGAATCATCAGAACCCCTGAAGAACCTCCAAGAATCTTCAGGAATCATGCAGAACCGTAAGGAATCCTTGGACATCCGGAAGAAACCTGGGAGATCCTTTGGAATCCCGAGAAGACCTCAGGGACACTGAGGAACCGTGAGGAACCCTGGGGGACCCTCAGGAATCTTGATAAACCCGTGGGAATAAAAAAATCTCAGGAATCCCACCAGCCCTCTGGGCGTAGGTGGTCTAGAGCAGATCCTCTTCCACCCCTCCCTCTTCCCCCTTGGGGAGGGGTTTACCCCTCCCCCTACCCCCTCCCCTGGACCTGGACGGGGGGGGCCGCGGGTAGTTAGAGCGTCCAAGATGGCCCAAGACGGCTCCAAGAGCGCCTCAGAGAACCCAAGATGAGCTCCAAGATGGCTCAAGATAGCGCAAGATCGCTCACGATGGCTCCTAAGATGGTTCCAAGAAGCCCAAAGACGGCCCCAAGATAACTCCAAGTGGCCAAACAGCTCCCCAAGGA